CGCATACGTGCAAAAAAGACGATTGCGCCCATTACGCCGCACATGTTACATATCGCCGCGAACGTCAGCCTGAGAGAGATAAGTCTAGGGCCATCAATCACTGATAACACTAAACTGATGAGCGGTAAAAGCTTTTAAAGTGTTGCCTATGGCCAATTTTGGGTATGGTAGTTTTCTGCGATGTCGCAGATGCGCGCAATTTTAAAGCTTGACATGTTTGGTGTCTATTTAACCGACGTGACCCCGTCTTTTATATCTTACTAAAAAAGTGCGTAATAATAAATGTTTCCTAACATAATGTTAAAAAAAACAACATTTTTTTTCAAAATTTTCAGTAATTTTTCCTAATTATAGTAAAAAATAAAACCTGTAGTGGTGATTAAATACCACCAAAAGAAAGCTCTTTCTGTACCCAAAAAATTGTATAAAATTCATTTCAGTACAGCGTTGCATGACGGAATAAACGTCAGTCAAAGTATCGCAGCGCTGAATACTGAAAAATGGCCTGGCCAGGAAGGGGGTCTAAACACCTGGTCTTGAAGTGGTTAATAGGTTCAGCTATGTGCTGTTTTTTTGTGTTTCATGTTCAAATGATATTGGGTTGTTTGTATATAAAGGGTTCTGCTGTAGGTTTTAGCAAACAATGAGCATATATGTTGTGAATAACCAAGGTTGGATAGTGAAAATCAGGAATGAATGAAACAAGTGACAGCTGCTCCACTCTGTGTATTGCATACCATGTGCATTATCCGGAGATTTGCAGAGATTGCCTGGGTATAGAGTGTCATTTCTGGTAAAAAGCATTGCCGGAAGCTGTGAGTAATAAGTCAAGATGACCATCAGTTATTCTGACAAATATCAACAAACTGGATTAGTGAGGCCAGAAGGTCATTATGATGCTGAGCAGATCTGGTCACTCTATCATAAGTCAGAGGTGTTTGTTAGAAATGTATGGACAAGGGTGCAAGTTGCATCCTCCTTTTTTTCCTTCTTTTTTTTTTTTTTTTAGTTCCAGAGGTCTGCCACAGCGAGTAACATAATACAGACTTATGTACAGTTTAACTATACATCCTGATGGCAAGATAAGAGTCCACGTGGTCCGTAAAGATTATTACTATAATATACTTGACAGATCATAGACTATACAGTCTTACTATCTATGTGAAAGCAGAGTTCTGACTAGAGCTCTCTTTGCTGTGTCGGAGTTAGAGCTTTCCAATAAGCAGGCGAACATGAGTCTTGCTGATTGAAGAATTATAGCTTTGGCTCAGCAGTGGGTGTGTTGGACCTCTGATGGGCTTTAACGTTATTAAATAGATTTCATTGTCCATCCAGCACTGCACTGGATGACTCAGACCTGCTAAACACCATAACAAGAAAACAAGTTCAGGGATGGGGTGGGATGATGGGAAGCTGATCTCAGGAAGGGGATTAGAAGGAAGCAGGCACGGGTATACAGAAGCCCACAAGTGTCAGTAGCCAGTAGGAATCCTATCACCATGACTGAACTGGAGATTGGCTACCAATCCTGCAACCTAGAAAACTCTTAATAGTTAAAGC